GCGAATTGAAAATGCGCAGAAACGTTTTATTCGTATTATATATTATAGGTATTTTAACATATGTTATTACGACTACGACTACCTACTCAAAAGTCTACATTTACAAAATCTATCCACTCGCCGAGTCACCTGTAGTTTTCTCTGTTTACACAAAGCAATTCATACTCCCTTCAATGCTCGCCTGCTAATAAAAAAAATGCGTAAATTTTTATGTAGCTGTTTGCATTTGTAGACGCCACTATCTATTCTACCCTTCTTTTCAAGAAAAAATTAGTATCAGTAATTCGCATGCAACTCTCATTTAACGATTTAGTCTTCATGTTTGGACAGTTTTGATGAAATGAATTCTTTCAAGCGATACTGGCTTGTAAACTCTCATGTTTAAGACCCTTCTGATGACATGATTTTTTTTTTTTTTTGTGAGAATATATGTTTGGGGCAATTCCTTCATAAATTGTTTTTCTTTTAATTTTCTAAAAAAAGCGTTAATTTTTTCTAGAGTGAACTAGCTTTGTGCGATGTATTAATGACATTCCCGTGAAGAGTTCGATCTTTTTCATTTTCTGTCGTATGTGAAAGTACATAATTTGTATTGCTTAAATGTTCTATCTTGTGCTACCGCATCAAAACCGCGAGGTTGTTCTGTGGCACGGATAAAATAAAGAATGAATTAATTATTATAAATAAATAAATAAACAACGAAAGAAACAAAACACGTTGTTCTCTAGATGCGTTCCCGTTCCAGCTCCATGTAATGCAAGGTGTGACGGTGGCATTTCTTCGTTCATCTTGAAAAGAACGCCGTTCCGTAAAACTAGATTGTCGTATGGTTGTACCCACCTCCACGCATGCGCATTATATATATATATATATATATATATATATATATATATATATATATATATATATAAATAAAAGAAGCATAGTTGCTGCGCGGTATTAGGGGCGCCTAAACACACTTGGCATAAGAACACGCGACCCAGGGTCTGGATTGAAACTGCTGTGCCGTCCTTTTTGTATTGTTTTGTTTCCCTCCACTGTAAGGGTATCTTACAAAGTCGGCCCGCGATCGTTACTTACCATTCATGCTTGGAAATTGAAAGACACACAGACACAAAAGGTTCAAAAGCCACCCGAGTCTTTCGCAAGAAAACGCATTGGCTGCCACAGATAAAAATGCCGTACATGTGTAAAGGCCAGCCAGGCGACGGTGGGGGCAACCTATACATTTTGTTGCGCGACTAGAATCTGGACACGTAACGACGTAAAACTTTTTTTTCTTTTTTTTATGCGCAAACGGTTAGGCGCGCTGCAGGCCTAGGCACTTTTTTTCCCGGGAGTACGCTGAAATCAGCCTGAAGCAACTGGTGCATGTTCGCTCCTTTGCCACGAGGACGACGAAGTTTTTGGATCACAAAATGGTACGCTGCAGAAACAACTTCTTTCAAGTCACAGGGCCCGAAGTGAAAGCGTGGCTTCCCAGATGCGCCGATCTCTGCGCTGTATGTTCATCACTATCAAGTCCAGCTATAGACTGTATTACTTATACAGTGGATTTGTTCGAGAATCCTCGTAAGGTAGAAGGATCAACCCGCATATGCCTCGCAGTTCGTTCAAAAAGACTGAAGTTGTGATTAATGATGCATTCACGTTAAATTGATCATTTGCAATGAAAACAATGAAGGAATGTAACGTCATTCCGTCTCGTACCTACATCCGCTCGCTTATGGCAGTGAAAATGTCGGTCGTTTGTATGTACTATTTTACGCCAATTAATTGCTCTTTCTTTTTCAATTTTTGCTGCAGATTTTATTTTTATACATATGCTCCACCTCAGTCGTTTTTTTGTTTAGTTTTTCGCAACTAGTAGCCCATCCTTTCTCGTCAACCATTCCACACACAAAAAAAAAAAAATCAACGTTTTCTTCTTTTCTTTTTCTTTTTTTTTTTTTTGTGGCTAAAGATGACACGTTGCTGTTTTCTCCTTGCATCCCCTGTGCAATGTGAAGAAGTCTCCCTCAAGTCAGCTGCCACTTTAATGGTTTTTCTCCCGAGCGCGTATGCCTTCTGCAGCACATACTTCGCACCGCCGAACTGGTTGTACTCATCAAGGAAAGACGGAATGACCGCCAGGGTGATCTACTCAATTCTGTGAAGTGAATTTACTTTATTCTTTTTTTTTTAATTAGCAAACGGTTAGAGTAACACCCTCTGGAATAGTTTCTGGTAAATAAACGAGTGTTCCATAGAGAAGAGACCCCCTCCTTGCAAGGGCGTACTCGTCGATCCAAGACCCCTGACGTGCAGATATACCGAGGAGGTGAACGAGTCAAGAACAATAATACGTTCCAAATGTTTCGTAAACACTTCCCAAAGTTCAGAGAACGTCCTATTTAGGTTATATCAGACCAAAATGGCGGAATGGTAGGCAAGATTTTCTCTATCACTCTTCAATCGGACACACACACGCACGCACAAAATAAGTACCTTTTCCGTTCTTATTTGGTCAGATTGGTCCATGTCCTCCGAACACGTAACCAACATACTTTATCCAAAAAAAGAAAAGAGAAGGCGATAGTGTGGAGAACGTCCAAGCCGAAAGGTCACTAACCGCTTTCCGAGAGACAAGCTGCACTCCCAACACCGGTTCCCTAACCACATTTAACACCAGTCCCCCTCCGTCCTCCCATCTGGGCAATTAGCGTCATGACATAGCAAATGGCTTTCACCCCGACGTCCATTAACGCCCAGACGCCCACGGGGATTCACACGGGCGGGCAAGATTCTGCCAGAAAGCGGGCCAAGGACGCACGGAAGTCGCTTCGGCTGAAAAGAATCTCGACAGTCGGGCTGTCACGCTGAACGAGATATGACCTCGCTTTTCAAAATGTGATGGGTCCTTCAACTGCGGGGACGAACGTCAAAAGACCGCGCAACCCTCAAGTGTGCCATCGGCTGGCGGGCTACGGTAACGCCCCATGGCCCTAGGTAAGATGGCCACCACGAGCTAAGAGTTGGTGAGTGGGTAGATAATGAAGTCACCGCGTATTTCTACGTCCCTGTTTGATACCGCAATACCTTTCAGGATTTATTCTCAAACGAGCGTACATCCCCGTATGGCTAAATAGACCTGTTGCTTGCTTCGCAGGCCACGTTGACCAGATTCCCTTAGCGTAGGCTGTTGATGCATTTCTAGCCTTGGCGTGTGAGATGGACGTGCAGCATATGAAAGTCAGCTGGTAATCTCAGAAAGTGACAAATCGACCATGCCAACATCGTGATTACCAAGCTGAGAAAATATTCGTGCGAGGACACAACATTTTCGAAATTCGGCCACTGAAATCTCTCGAAGAGTGTGTGCATAGCTAGCGAAACACGAATGTTCGTCCGCCTTTTTCACAAACAAACACACACACAAAGTTCCTGCTAGATGGGTGTGCTATTATAGCTAACGTGAGCGTATGCGATATACGTTCCAGGTGCTGTTATTTGACGTTCCAAATCACACAGGTCAAACGCGAGTACTGTAGCTAGCGACGCGAGCTAAAATGCGCGAACGGCGGCAGGACAAACCAAGCTGTAGCACGATAGTGCGCGTGCGTCGGGGAGATGTCGAGAACGGTGGGAGAGTAGACACAACACCTCCACTCGCAGCCTGCTAAGCCGCGTGATCCGTGCTGCCTGGCCGTCGTGTACGCATTCTAGTTCAAATCGCTAGCCACCGTAAGGGTCGATCTTGCAATGCATCCTTCGACGAACCGCGCGGCACCCTGCACAATGAAACAGTTGTTTCATAATGAAAATTGTCTTGAAATTTAAGGAAACGAAATTGCGACAATAAAACAGCCAGAAAAACAGGGCACCAGTCCGAGGCATGCGTAATATGTGAGGGCAAACAATTGCCATGAAGCTGTCAGAACAAATCAAACACCGCCAGACTTTCAAAACAACTGAAGTTCCACTTCTTCGAATTCAAAATTCAAACGCACAGGGATCTCAAAATTGAGCCGATCCGAGTTTTACCGGGCAGACGCCAGAAGTGACCCAATCGACTATAGCGGCAAGAGAAGCAGCCTGAAGCGAGGAATCGCTCCCGCGAATTTGAATTCTACCGGCTTTTCAAGACGGAATGACACCGGCGCCCCACGCCCGTGCTCTTGCGCCGTAAATTGGCCCGGCTAGCTGCTCGGGCGGAGCGAAAAGAGGGCAACAAAAGCGCATGACGCTCCCCCACCGCAGGTACTACGGCAGCCACCGCCCAACGGCTCGTAGTCGAGTCGTTAGTTTCCTTCGACACCCACGACAAAAATCCAGTTCGCGCGAACGCCGATTCCACCCGAGCTGGTGAGACAGCATTTCAGCAGGTCATGTTCCAAAGCCAGATGTGCGCGAATAAAGAATAAACAAGTGCTACACGCAAACAAGCACACATAAAAAATAAAGAAAAAGAGAGAGGAACTGACACTCGAGATTAGTGGCGTGAGCTATCACAGACAAGCCGCGCAGTCGAGCAACAAGCGGCGGCGTTGAGTTTCTCCCGCCGACAGACGGACAGACAGCTCAGCACGCTGGTGTTGGGGTTTCCGGCACTCTCGGCAACGCAACTTTTAACGCCGTTTCCGCGAAAAGCCGCAACCGTAACAAGCACGAATGTCTAATGGACGCGGTGGCAAGAACTTTTAGAAACAGCTCATGACTGAACGTGAGAAAGCGCACGAGCGCCCATCAACACGCCAGACACGATTCGCTCGCCGCGCTCCGCGTAAACTCGACGCTGAATATGCGTAGGTGCCCACACGTGCAGTCGTTACTACGAGCAAGGACGTAGAGCTCACGTGCACCTCAGCTCATACCAATCCGGTTGCAAACGTCGGCCACTTGATCGGAAGATTTAAAGACGGCATTCAACAGCCACAACAAGGAATGCCAGTTGGCTCCGGGCGCGGTGTCTCGCGGCGCCGCGCTCTGTACGCAGGCGAAGATTCGAAACGGCCACTCACGTATTCGGACAGCTTTGGCGTTAAGCTCGGACACGGTCTTCTCGCAGCGCTGCAGCTTATTCCTCAGTGCCTCGCTTCTCTCTTGGATGAGTCGGCATTCGGCGCTGATCCCTTCAAAGATGCAGTCGGCGACCGAGACCAAGCAAGCGAGCTGCCTCAGGGTCCCGACCAAAGTTATGTTGGCGCTCGCCTCGAGTTCGTCAGTCACATTTTTATCCGGGGGTATGGGCTGCCGGCTGATGAACACCGGCTCGACGGTCCACTTGACGAAGGGCATCTCACCTGACGGTATCCATCGTCACACGCACGGCGTCACACGTTTGAATAGCACACCATTTTACCGGCCCCTGCGTCCCCCACGGGCCCGCACAAACTGCGCTGCGCGCGCATCTCTCGCTGAGGTGCGCGGTGGCCGGCGCTGTGCCAGCTCTCCTCTCTCTACCTGCTTTCGAGAGCGCCCCACCGCTGCTCCCTGCATGCCTGAGCAAGAAGTACGGAAGCCACGAGGCACCTAGCGCCGCCTCTCGTCTTTTCAACACACTAGCGCTCCTGCGCGATGTACAAACATGGCGGCGCCCACACGCGGGATTCGCCTCTTCTTCGCTGTGGTCCACAAGGCCGGTGAATTGCGCTCGGAAGCGAGTGCGTGTTTTCTGCCGTTAGTGAATTCGTGAGGCTCAAATAAAGCGTAATAAATAAGAGCGTTTCCCATACCTTTGCGTTTCTCTACACTTCGTCTCGCACCATGAACTTTTCTTGGCATTTGTGAGGAAGATAGATAGATATTTATTTGAACGTTTAGGTACAGGCCACATAGAAAGCGTTGCCGCCCGTACACATGTGCCTACGTGGCCGGCTTGAAGTAGACGATGATTGTGATATGAAGCTTGTCGGGTTGATGCGTGGCGGAGTGTTCATGAAGGGGAGAGGGCACGCGTGCCCGTATCTATAACTACATTGCCAAGATAGGTTGTCCCGGTTGTCCCCGACCCCGAGTATAAAAGCCATCGTAGCCAATCTAATGCCGTATGAGTGTCACACAACTTTCCGGAGGGTCGCAGCGATGTGCAAGGCGCACAGTCACTCGCATACTTGAGTAGTAATTCAGTTACAGTAATTGAATTACTGTAGTTTAATTACTTGCTGTGCGACTTGTAATTGTAATTAGTTACTTTCGTCTAAAAGGAATTGTAATTACATTCTAGCATTAGTAATTGCGAAATTTCAGGCACAATTACAATTACTTTTGCAAGACTGCGCTGCCGAGGGAAAAATATTTATTGGGGTTGTGTGGACATTTATACAGCGTGTAGTTGGTCAGCTATTTCAAAGTTGCGACGAGTCAATCGCTGTAGATGAGCAATTTAGCCAGTGCGGTGCAACCGCTAGCCTGGGGTCGTTAATGTGCACCACGCAGTAGTGGTACACGACCGCACGCCGCTACGATGCTCATCCAGATCGAAACGGGCAGGGTTGGGACTGAACCCCGGATCCCTGTTCTCGAGCGCGAGCTTTCGCTCCACGTGCCCCAAGCTGGTCTGCGCTAGCCCACCCAACCACCAATCCCCCCCCCCCCTTTTTTTTAACAAGGATTTGGTTACAGGTTAAGAACATAAATAGCAAGGAAACAAAATGAGGTATATACATGTTACAGCAAAACAAAAAGAAAGAAAAATAATGTTATATAAAGACATTGCATGGCCCAGGTGCAAAGTAAATCAGTTAAAGGTTACAACATTGTTAAACAGTGCAGTAACCTCAGCTCTGGGTGTGTATTACACTCGAAGAACCAAAGAATTTATTGGAGTGAGCACGTGCGAAGGCGTCGGATAGTCTTCCCGAAGCCTAAAAATTTAGTGCTGCCTTCTGACCTTGCTCCAGAGTGCCTCTCATATCTTGTTCTATTTCGACTTGTTCCAAAGTTCTAATAGTCCAGTCCAATTTGTTAGGAAAGTGTCGCCACGCTGGTTTAGGGTTCAGTGTGTACTCTGTCATGTCTATGCTTGACCGCCATAACTCACGTAGACCTAAAACCATGATTATCTCCGTCAAGTCAGTCAGCGTACGTCCTTTTGTCGTGCAGCCGTTGGAATTTCAAAGTACACCAATTAATTGACTCTTCACCCACGTGGCACGAAAACGCTCTGAGAACATCCCGGGAATGTTCAAAAGAACATAGGCAACATTCTTGGAATGTTGCAGATTTACGTAAGAACATTTTATAAACGTTGTCAGAATGTTGCTCAGGCACTTATCGCTACATTCCGGGAATGTTTTCTGATGGACATTCTTAGAACGTTCTGAGTATGACATGGAACATTACTAGCGCATTCAACTAACATTCAAATATCCTAACAAGACTTTAAGAACGTTCTCAGAACATCCAGAGATCTTCTGTAACTTTCTTGAAATGTTGCAAATATATGCAGGGACATCCATTCAATCTCATCAGAACGTGCACGTGAGTACATCGCTACATTCAGGGAACATTGTCTGAGGACTATTAAAAAGATTCCACAGTTACGGCTTGCTTAGGCTACAGCCCCAATGAGCCGCACTAAATATATGGATGTGATAAACCTTCCCTCAGAGCGATATTTTTAATCGAGATAGATTTTTAGAAGGCGCAAGCACAAGTTAGCCGAGTCCCAGCGCACCAGCCTGAGCACGTGGTAATGACAGTTTATTCTTACCTGTCACTTGTCAACATCTTTTATTCAAAATGTGTTTTATACATAACTGATTACTCGTTTCGAGCTTAAGAGCAGATACACGCGATACACATGGCGTTTAGAGTAGTTTATTGACTATCAGTTCCCCCATTCAGCAAGTGCTACGGGACTGTTACAACTACAAGGTTCAGGTCGATTGGAATCCACCAATATAGATCAAATGGCCCACCAAAACGACAACCGACCCTGGGGTTGCCACCAAAATTGTACAATCCTACTGGCCACTCCCAGGGGTGCTATGTTGCGCTTTTTGAACTCCCAGGAGACTAGGAAGAGGGAAGTGACGTCAACGACACAGCAAACGCAGATTGGGTGTTGATTTCGTTTTCTTCTGTCAACATCCAATCTGCGTTTGCTGTGTCGTTGACGTCACTTCCCTCTTCCTAGTCTCCTGGGAGTCCAAAAAGCGCAACATAGCACCCCAGACCTCCGTGACCCAGTGCACACTTATTAATTGTGTGATTTGCGCTCTACATGCTGTCTCGCTTCGCCACTAACCAGAGCTCCCGGAAACATCAAATTAATTTCCCTGGCGTTGGTTATCCTGGCAGCGTGTCCTTCGACTTCATTCGATCTATGCCCATTCTAACGGCGGGAAGAGACAATGCAATCGATCATCGACCACCCGCATTAGACGACTGCACCACCTTCTTTCCAAATCTCGCGATTTTGGACTGCGAATTCCTCTTCCAGAAATGAGCGGAGTTTCATCCTCACGCGTAATAAAAATTAAAATGGGCCACACTGCTCTCTGCCGCCTTTGTTGCACCGACGCCTGGCATCTGTTCTTCCGCAGTGCCCATTCTCCAACCGTGACTACGAGTCTTGCCCACGGGTTCTTAAGGGGGGGGGGGGGGGGGGGGGGGACTTTTTTGAGTTACATATTTCCGTATGTCCAGCCCAAATCCTAGTGTTAGCCGCGCCCACAATTGCTGGGCGACCACGCACTCTGCAATGACATGTGTCGTTGTTTCCATTTGACAGCAGTTTATGCAGAATGGACTGGGCGATCCGCGTGCACCCCATCTATGTTTGGGTGTTGGCCCGAAGAACATTCCATCCTCGTTTCCATTCAAACTCACGGACATCGACCGGTATCGTGGCGGCTGTGAGAGCTGTCCAGTGGAACGCGTTGATGCTTGCCTGTCGGTTTGGTGCTATTTCCTGGCACGTGAGGATTTCTGTGACACGGGCCGCGGGACGTTCCGAGCCTCGACCTCCGGGGCTTGTTCTGATATAAGCCGGCGCATCGCGATTATATCTTTGTAGAATTTAGTCGGCTTGGCCGCGCTTGGACTACAGTTGTCCCGATCGTTCCTGCAAAGAGAACGTCGGGCCGTCCCCAAGAAGTATCTGGCGAGAGGGCGTGCTGGGGCTGTCCTGGTCGTCCAATATTTGCAGTACACCCTTTACCACCAACAGTGTCCAACACTCTTGCTTGGGTGCGTATACGTGGGTAGCTCACTCCTTCTTGGTCTCGTGCTAGGCTCAGGACAGGCGCCGCAACCAGCGCGGTCTTGTGGTTCCAGAAGAACTCTGTTAAGAGACGTTGTAACCTCAAGGCCGTTTTTCTTGGCGGGGGATTGTTCGGGCAACATACCATGCGGGTCCGCACAACACATTGTGGGCGAAGTGGCGTCGCTCAAATAGCGGTACCTTGAACTGTTCTAGCTTTTCGACTTCCGCCTCCATAGCCTATGATATATGTTTGACCACGTTTTCCGGGACGCACCGTTTGCATTGAACCATACACCGAGGATCTTGACTGTGGGTTTTCGTGTGATCTCCGAGGGCCACAATGAAACCTGTCCCAGCGATATGCCATGACACTTGTTAAAATTCAGTGTTGCACCCGAGATCGCGGCGCAAGCGTCGAAAATCCTCCACACTCTTCGAAGACTGTCACAGTCCTGCACGTAGACGGTGATGTCGTCGGCTTAGGCGTTCACAACTGCTGACGGCAATCCCGGCAGAGGGAGGCCACGGATTAGTGTATCCCGCCTAACCTGCTGCAAGAAAGTTTCCAAAGAAAGCACAAATAGCACCGGGGATAGCGGGCATCCCTATCTGACGCCCTGGGAAATCCTTGTTCTAGTTACCATTTTACCGTTGACGACTAACTCGCCTCTATATTTGTGTATAAGCCCTTTACTAGATTGATCACCTGTGGAGGAAAACCAAATGCTTCTAGCGCTGCGAATATATGCGAGTGCCGCACTCGATCATAAGCTTTTTCCTGGTCGAGGGGCACGATGATCCCCGCTGCCTTTCGGTGATTCGTGTATTCTATAATGTCCCGCGTGAAAGCTGTAATTGTGTGGGGTGTCCGTCCCGGTATAGGCTATAGCACAGGTTTCTCCCGGTTGGATGATTTCTGGTAACACTGTTTGGAAGCGACGGCTTAAGGTGGCAGTGATCATCTTGTAGGATGTATTTAGCAGCGTTATGGGGCGCCATGCACTAGGATTTTCAGGGTCTCATTGTTTCCAGCAAGGTAATTCGGCCGGTGGTAATCGACTCTGTAAGTACACCCTCGCGAAAGGCTTCCTGGACTGCCTTGGTCACAAAAGGACCAACTGCTGGCCAAAAAGCCTGGAAGAACTCCGCGGGGAGGCCATCCGGTCCAGGTGCTTTGCCTCTACTGATGTTTTCTAATACCCATCGAATTTCCCGACTGTTGGGCAGCTTGTAAAAATTCATTCCCATTCCGATATGCAATTGTGGAAGTCCGGCAAAA